CTAGCCAAAATCAAAAGCTTATCGTCGGCTTGAAAAAACTCGACAAAAATGTCCGAGTGAAACACAGAAGAAAAAGTTCCGGATGGCAAAATCAAACTGAAAATGATTTTCTCGCTCTGCGCAAAAGTCGTCACAAAATTTACTGCTGTCCAGCGCGACAAAAGCCCAAATACTCTAATTTGCTTTTGAAACACAGCATAAATGGCCTACTTTGAAGCCAAGTCCACCTGCCTTCGATAATACCCCCAAAACTTATAATTCTCGGCAATCTAGAAGCTGCTAAAATGCTTATTTACTTTCGTAGCTATTATTTTAAAGCGATTCTTCGGTAAGACATCAAATTCCACTCATCAAATTTCAACCAAACGCTACCCAAAAATCGGCCAATTATCAGAAAGACCAAAATGAGGAAAGGGGAAAACTAAACATCTGACATTTCCCTTCGGAGGAATGGAATGAGGCAAAGGAGAGAACGCGAAGATCATCAAAAGGTTGCAGTAGGCTGACCAGCGGTACAATTTTCGGTCACAGGAACCACAAGCCCAACCCCCTCCCCTCCCCTTCCCCCGAAAAAAAATAACAGGTATGTTGGTACAGCGAAAATGTACAGTCAAGGAACCAAAGGACAAAAATTAGTTGAAACTCTAAGCATCCCCTCCCCCCCACCAACATATTTGCTGTCTGTACGAGATGGGGCTAATTTCTGAAGCACAATGAAGATGTTAAAAAAAAAAAATAGGTAATCCGGGAGAAGTACTTCACACATTCCTAAAAAAGCAAAATTTTTTTTTCACTTTTTCAAAAATTTCAAAAAAGCATGATCTTCACACACTTTTTTGCAAAACGAGCTCGTGCCCTCAATTTAGCGAAAATACATTCAGGAAGTTTCAGTCGCTCTCCAACTGGAAATTGAGTCTGGGTACGAAAGAACTCAAAAAGCAGTTACAGATACTGCCAATCAGGTTATATCTTTCAGATTCTTTAGACTCTAGTGGCAATCTTAGAAAACCAGTCAACTTTCCTCAAACAAATTTTTATCGAAAAAGTTGAGAAATTTAGGCTGGCACAAGAACTGCTGAGTTGGTAATCCCTTCAGAAGACGACAGCTGGCAATAGTCAAATCAACTCGAAAAGTTGCTGCTGCTATTTAGATGAAGAATCGGTCCATGAAGTTGTTCGATGGGTTTCAAATAAAGCTGCCAGTATGAAACTCCTTAGTTAGGCGCAAAAACTGCTGAGTTGGTAATCCCTTCAGAAAACGAAACCTGGTACTAGTCAAATCAACTTGAAAAATTGACACTGCATAGATGAAGAACGAGTTCACGAAAAAAAAAGTTGTTTCACGGATTTCAAATAAAGCTGCTAGGTATGAAACTCCCAAGTTACTGCTGAGGTTTAGTCATTTGCCTCGCGTACAACTATGTTAAAACCTTCTATTCTCAACTCCGTAGCTGTAGCTTATCTTCCTCGTTTGTATGGTAAATCCCTTCGACGGATAACTGGTTACTTTTTTGTTGTTCTGTACAAAAATTGGACCGATTTTCAGTGTGGTACTGATATGAAGTGTGCTAAGCCGATTGTAGCATCCAGGCTGCTAACTTTACAACTAAAACATATCTGTCAGGCCGACGTTTTTTTTACCACCCTTCCACGCAGATAACATAAAGGACAACCACAAAAAACAAAAAAAGGTCTAAATGCATGCACTACAACAAAATATGCACCACACGCACACACTCATCATCCATCACTTACCAAGAATGGAACCGTTCCAGCTGTATCCGTTCAGTGAGCTTACTGCAAGATCGGCTTCCGCTGAAGTACCATACTGAATGAATGCATATCCTTTGAAAACGGTAACACCCAAAAGTGTGCCATAGGCGCTGAACAGCCGAATCATATCATCTCGAGTAATCACATTGGTGTTCATATTGCCAACGAATACACGAGCCCTGCACAAAAAAAGCACACACATTGAGAATGTTTTGAATTACCACAATCGTCGTACTGACAAGGTCCAATTGTGGGTAATGGTAAGAAATGTATACGACTCAATAGACCTAAACATTTCTTACCATTATTAATAATTTTACTGATTTACAAATTTTGTAATTCTTATCTCTTATTTCCCTTTTTGCCCTTTTCTTTTCACCTTTTATTAATAAACTTTCCTACTGAACAGATAAGTTGCTAACTCGGGAACCAGAAAAGCTAGAAAGCTGGAATTTTAAGGGAATGCTTTCCTCGTTCAAGTAGGCGTTAATGGGCTCGAACCCAGCCTCCAAGTGTCCGTGGTTCCCATGTACGGGCTTGTGAATGTTTTCATCCGACTCCTCCCTTTTTCCTCACCTTTCTACTAATCCCCTCTTCTCATTCTGACCACTAGCAAGCTAGCAGTCAATCTCTTCTTTTCCATCGGACTATCAAGCGATCTCAATTAGGTAATATCTCCAGTATTTCTTAATATCCCCTTTCATCGTCTTCACATTTCCAATCCCGTCCTTTAACTATTCCTACTCTATTTTAATCCCATTTTAAATTTTTTACATTTTAATCTTTATATCTAAATTTTATTGCCAAACTCCCGAATTTTTTTAAATTTCTATTCTATTTCAGAAGTCGGCAAGATAGCTCATCGTGATATTAAAGCCGTCAGCCATATTCAGAATGAGGTGGTGAAGGTGCCCAACAAATCTCGAAACTGCTAAATTTCCGCCAAACAATTCTACTGGAAAAACGCAAAGATTGTAATCTTTGCAAGGGAATGATAGCATACGCAAATCATATGTTGGCAAGGCTGTTGATGGATCCTCTTTTGAGAGCTACTTAGAAGCAAGTTGTTGGAGGTTTTGACTACCTCTTGGCTTGCGTCAGTACCAATTCACCATCGAAACGAATAAACGAATCATAGAAACTTAGCAAAGTTGAATCCTCAGCTTCAGTATAATAAAAGCAGCAGTACTACTTGCAAGCAAAATTACTACATATTTTTTGCATTAACCTGACAAGCTGCGGATCTTTGGAGCTGGTATCAAAGCTGACATCTCTTCCTTTCAGTGTCGGGCTACCTCCAAATACACCGCCAGGTGGTCTGAAATAGAATACATCAAAAGCCAACGAATGCAAAAAGGTGCTGAATCCACAAAAAATGTCTGGAAATTGTTCTTAGAGGCAGGACGGGGTCAGTTTTTCGCACTGCAACTCCATCCCCCCGCCTCACCCTACCT